TGTACTAAGCTTTAAACCATTACTGCCATAAGACCCTTGGTTGCCACTATCATCTTGATGGTCTTTTCTGCTGGAGGCTGTCATTTTTGCAGTGAAGGCCTGGGCTTGCTTTCATGTGTTTTTGCACGTGCGCATGAATGTGTGTGAACTCAGTGACCTGGATTTATACCATAGAATAAAACAATTAGCCCGTTCATCCCATGCTACTAATTTTAAGAGGTTTCCCTCTAAATTTAAGTGAGTTGTTTAAAAAAAATTAAGCCACCTTTGTTGATTCATCATGATTTTGATTTTTTAAGGTTGGTTTATACTTGAACAGGATATCTTGTATCAAAGCTTCACTGCCTAGGGTTCAGGAAGCTCATAAGTGTTCATATACCAAATCTCAGAAGTTGGGAAGTTAATAAATGTCTTGAAAAGGAATAAATGCCTCTAAAGGGCTTCATTTCATGTGTTCATTTATTCATGCAGCACCTTTTTTGGAAATATTTACCTCTTTGACCCTTTAGAAATGATTCAAATACAGCAATCAAAGAAAACCACCACTATATGAGAGTATACCTGTTGGCAGTTTGGGTATCTATCTATCTATCTATCTATCTATCTATCTATCTATCTATCTATCTATCTATCTATCTATCTATCTATCTATCTATCTATCTATCTATCTATCTATCTATCTATCTATCTATCTATCTATCTATCTATCTATCTATCTATCTATCTATCTATCTATCTGAAATCTACAAAATAGAATTTCTTTTCAATATTCAAATCATGTTATCCACAAAGACCCTCTCTCACTTCCTACCTCCCTCTCTCCCTCCTTCAATCTCCCTCCATCTCTCCCGCCATTTCAATCTCTATGCAGAACATCCATGTTCCTGAGCATGTACTTTCTATCTATCTATCTATCTATCTATCTATCTATCTATCTATCTATCTATCTATCTATCTATCTATCTATCTATCTATCTATCTATCTATCTATCTATCTATCTATCTATCTATCTATCTATCTATCTATCTATCTATCTATCTATCTATCTATCTTTAGCTTCCCCAGATTAATTAAGTAATTAATAAGTAAAATTAATATACTGAACAGAAGGAAAGGTTATAGATTCCAACTCATATTGTATTCTATATCACCATCTTTGTGAAAGTCCAGCAAAGTTTTGGTGCTTAAAATAAAATAACCAATATTTGAAAGCAAAAGTAAATGGCAATAATATTAATAAAAACAACAACAACAAAACTAAAGAGCAAGAAAAAAATGAAATGAAATGAAGCAGGACACAAACTGTTTGTCTCCTTTGATTTTTTGTGATACGCACCAGTGCCACTGCTCTTATCTGGCATTGTTGCTTTCTTTCAGTCAGGACTGTTCTCTCTTGGTGCCCACTGCTGCCAATACCAAGTTATTGCAATGCCAAATGACACTTAGAATTATTATATTTAAAGCAACTTGAATACTAGAGTTTTTCCTGACTGCCACCAAGCTGTAATTTGTTGGTGTAGAGGTGAAGCTCAGTGAAACAGCTCTACTACAGGAGTCATAGGAGTTTAGAGACTTTATACAAACAGTGTTGACAAGGTTAGGCGTGGCATTTCAAAATGGAGGAATAGTCTTCTAGTCATTTAGATCTATTTTAGCCTTTACAAAAACTGTTTTACATGGCAGTCAATGTTCCAGCATCTTTTATTTGTTCTACACCTCATTTTTAGATCCAAATTCATTCACTCATCCTAATCTTTTCCATTTAGTGGCCAGCCTCATATGGCCTCTGTCTACAAGGCCACAAACCTAGAGTTATCTTTCACTGTTGATTTTTTTTTTTTGCAGGTACTATACAATGAATCTCACATTTGAGGATGTGTGAGTTTCTTGATTCTCAGAACAAGTTGTACTTGCTCTCTTGCTTTGCTGTGCATCAGAGCCTCACACTTCTTTTTCTTGGCTTTGGTTAGAGCCAGTTTTTTCTTTTCTGTGAAAGTAGAAATACACACTGTTGTATAAAATATTCAGTTTTCTTGCAATTTCCTGCATGGAATAGCCTTCATGTGTTCAAACAGATATATTCTGATAAGTTTAAGAAGAAAGCTATTTTTTAGGTGATATAAATTAGCCCAACAGTCTTTGCATTTTAGGGATTTTTGTATTAAATATTTAAACAGCAGTGACATTCCTAAGGACACTGCCTTTTAAATGAGAATATAAATATTTTGTAAACATTTCATGTGCACTGAAACTGGCTTGTTATCAGGAGTTTGGGAGACAGATCAAACCTTTGTTGTGAGTTTTTCATGGATAGTAGATTGTCCTGCTTAGTAAGCACCTGTTGTTGAAAAGTGGTGCTCTGTGGGGAGGAACTTTATAGCATGGGTTTCCATGGCTGAGTAGCTCCTGTAGAGATAATGTAAAGGTTCTTCAGTACTTTTGTCCACATAGTGTCCATATGCAACACATACTGTCAAACATTTCCACTAAAATCACTTCATCCCTGCAGCTATGAACTCAAATGCTGTTTGAGTTCATTTGGTAAGACTTTAAGATTAAAGACAACTATGCTACAATTGTGAAGTGCGAGGCGTGTAAGTAGAAAAGCACTGACACGCAAAGCAGGCTATGGTAAACTTAATGTGAGCTGAAGGACAACATTAATCTTATGATGGCAATAGTGAACAATTGCGTAATTATGAATACTTTTTAACCAATACTTAGTACTTTATCATGAAAATATTTTACTTCCAAATAGTGTCACCTGCTAATAGTTTTCTCCTTATTTTCCAAGTATGGCAGCACTTCTGTGTTTATCCCCAGAAATACATAGTGGTGCTCTCCGTGGTGCTGAAAGTGCAGATCAGTAAGCCTAGCAGCCTGTGAAAGTGATTGACATGGATTCAAACGGTAGCATGGATTGAACTTGACCTAAATTCAGATTTTTGAAGAGAGGATCTGCTCCAACAATGACTATCTCCTCTCTGCCGTGCTTGTACACACATACATTTACAGTCACACGCTCTGCACATGCACAAGTGATCGTAGATTTCTGCTGTTGGTTGAATTTGGCATCAAGAGCGGAGGCAGTCATTTAACATTAACCTTTCTCTATCCCTTTCACCTTACCACACACTGAGATGCACGCTCGGTCACTCAGTTGCATCCGAACACCTTTGCACCTGAGAACCTTTCCCCCAACCAGCCACCCATATCCTGTCTACAATATTGCGCTCCTGCCTGGCTCCCTTCCGCTTCACACCCACACACGCATGGAAAAGAGGGAAGTCGGACATCAGCCTCCCACAGCAGTGCGATTACAGAGTGGATAGACTATGTGTGTGTTAAATGTGAAAGGAGATTATGTGGGTTTAACTCTCTGTGTCTGGCATACAGATTTCAATCACGTAACATCGCCTTTCTTTAATGTGGCAGGAAAAGACAAGGTTTATGTCTTTTGAGGGGTATCTGGAGAGGGAAAAGGAATGATGGGAAACAGAAAGAAAAGGAGGAGTTATCGCTCAGATAAGAGAAAGGAAGGCAGGTAGATGCATTAGGTGGCAGGCAGCAGACAATTGAGAGTGAAAATCACCTTACGTCAGTTCAGGCTAATCCCTGCATTTTACTTTTGAGCCTTTTCTCATGTGACCCATCCTATTTATGTCATGTTATTAATGTCATTACATGTTACTATTTATACTAGACAGAAAAGATACAAAAATAGCCTTTATAACATCCCTTCCTTTTTTTTTCTTACCATGCATTCAGATGTTAAAAAAGCAGCTAGTCAGCCTTTGTGTTTCATTTTATAGCTGGCTGCTAATGATATCCATTGATATAGAGGATCTGTAAAAATTAGAGCCTAAGTGACATTGGATAGTGTCTTTATATCTCCATTGATAGCTAACACCCTATTTTCTCCCAGCACACAGAGAATTAAAGAGACAGGGCTAATCCAGGCATTGTTGACAAAATCCAGGAAAAGGGATTAATTAAGTATCATTGTCTGAGAAGAAAATACTCTGGCTTGGGGCATAGCGTCTTCCCCTGGCCTCCAGCCAAGCCGAGCTCAGCACTTCTATACACTCCTCTACACCCCTCTTCCCAGTTCCAACAAACACACAGAGAAACAGAGATCTTAAAGGATGCCTCATTGCTTTATAGCTGACGAGGGCGTTGTGCGAAAGAGGATATTTGGTGGTCTGCTTCCCCTTAGGAAAACTTAACTCTTCATCTGTGCCACAAAAGTATTGATATACAGCAAATTACTATGCTACCCAGCATAAATGCACACACATACACATATGCAGCACTTAGCTTTCACACCACAAATGTTTATACATTTTTCCCTCCAGAAAAGATAACAGTGGTGGCGGGGTCATCTTATGTAACCCATTTTTTTTCCTGTTGAGAGGCATGTTTCTAAAGGACTACCTGTTTACACATATTCGATTATAGATCTCAGAGGATTTCGTATTGGATGAGATTTATGTCTGCCTTTTGGCAGACAGTGAGGAAGTTTTTTGAGTTAAGGTGACCTAGGAGCCTGTAGATGCTTTCTTATAGGTTGAATGCAAATGCATGTAGGTTTATGTTTAATGTTTGACTGTATCACACTGATTTAGTTAACAGACCTGTAAAATATTGTAAATACATCTCTAGAATGCATTAGGCCTGAAAGAGTAACATGGATGTTCACGATGCACCTCTATCTATCTATCTATCTATCTATCTATCTATCTGCTTAGTTTTTCATAATAATTGTAATTATAATTTTTTAAAGTCAAAGTTTAAGTTGCAAAGTGAACAAGTACAATTAATATACTATATATTTCATTATTAATGCACTGGCTGTCTGTTGCAGTTTATCATGCTATGCAACTTTATTCAGTCTCCTTGGTCCTTGATTGTGCACATTCTATATTGGGCGTGAATGTTGTCTCTATATCTGACACATATCAGCTATTTAACTCTGTCTCCCCTTCTCTCATCCTAACAGTCAACAGTGAGGATGTTGTCTCTACGCGGCTGTACTTTGTGAACGCCTCCCTGCAGCGGGTGACCTTCTCCAGCTCGGTGGGGGTGTCCCTGCCCTGCCCCGCGGGTGGCGCCCCCCATGCCGTCCTGCGCTGGTACCTGGCTGCCGGAGACGACATTTACGACGTGCCCCATATCCGCCACGTGCATGCCAACGGCACCCTCCAGCTCTACCCTTTCTCCCCCTCCGCCTATAACAGCATTATCCATGACAACGAATACTTCTGCACTGCTGAGAACCAAGCGGGCAAGATTCGAAGCCCCAGCATCCACATCAAAGCAGGTGAGGGCTTAAAACTGAATGGCCAGAAGGACACTTTAATTCAGGAATGTTACTATGTTTCTTACTTACCAAACCAGCAGACTATTACCTTTTTTCTTCTTTATATGTATTTAGAATATATTATTGATGTCAGTGTTATTGTATTTAAGGTCAGTTTTAAATGTACATTAAAAGTACTGGTCCACCTACATGTTACACATACAGCAGCTGCTCATGGAAAGTCATGCTACGAAGCTCCCAGTGTGCAGTTTTTGTACTGATGTTAATGCCAAAGAAGGTTTGGAGCTCTGCAGTTACTGAGTCAGTGGAGTGGTATCAGCTTTTACACACTATGGAACCTCAACACTTGGCAAACCTGATCTGTAACTTTACATGACCTTCGACCTCATGGCCAAGTGGCAGCTGTTTCTAAATGCTTCCACTTTGTGAAAATATCACTTTGTAGAATCATGCGATATCTAGGAGGGAAGAAATTTCACAAACTGACTTGTTGTAATGGTGACATGTTATTATAGTACCACATTTCAATTCAGTGAGCTCCTATTCAAAGATTAAGAGGTGCAACTTTTGTCATATCATGTATGTTCAGGGCAGGTGAACTAACTAACCTTACCTTTTCATGCTTTTCTGGCCCGGTAGTTGTTGCCGTTATTAAAACTAACATGGAGATAGAAGTATTTTGTGTCCACTGTTATGACCATGTTATGACCATCATAACAAAAAGACTTTTTCGTTCATTTCTAGACTGACTTTTTTTTTTAGCTTTACTATAGAAAGCCACTACTGGACTCTTTCAGTGATTGGATACATTTTCTGTAACAAAAAAAAAGAGAGGTAGCAAAACTTTTTCAGGTGAGGTACTTCAAGTTTTGAAAAACAAATTCTTGTGCCACCAAACTGGTCGAGTGCAGTGCGTTGGAATATGACAAGAAAACTGATCTTCATGTTTTAAATTTGTTGAGGGCCCATTGGAGACCACTAAGGTTATCAATAAAATAATATTATGTGGACATTCTGAAAATTTTCACTTCACTAAATACTCACCAAAAAATGTCCAAGTGCCAAGCTGGAGGCAGTTTTTTTTGGCACACATTGAAGTGATCACAAAAACAACATAGCCACAGCCAGCATCTGAAAATATGGTCACACAAACAGCCCACAGTCATATTGTCATTTTAAACCAAAAACTTTTCTCGGTGGGGCTTAAGTAGCTCCGAGTGCCCTGACACACATGCAGGCACAGAGACAGTTGGTTTGGTGACCTGTCCACACTCCCTGCCAAGGTCAAAGCTGGAGAGAGGTGCTGAACACACCGAGGAAAGGTGTTACTGATCTTTTAACACTTGCACGGTGACACACACACACACACACACACACACACACACACACACACACACACACACACACACACACACACCACAAAAAGTAAAAAACACATGCACATGACCTCATGTGATACACACTTTATACAATAGATATGCACGTTTGCATGTTAATGCGCATGTACACAAACACGGACCCACACATGCACGCGCACACACAAACAAACACATACCAACATGCACACCAGCCTGCGAATAGCTCGTGCCAGCAAGCCTCCTGTCTCCCAGTCTCTCCATCTGTCCATGAACTGGAAAGTCCCCTAACTACACACACACACAGGCTAACACAGACACACACACACACACACACACTGAAACACAGGCTCAGCCATTTTCCTCAAGCTGGCTCATGGTGTTTAGTCGCCAGCTCTTTGTAAGGGTGTTTGGCAGGAAAGATTTTGGAGTGAGCTAGACACATGAAAAGATGTGAAAAGAAATCCTGAAAAAAAAGTAGATTTTTAGGTCATGCTAATAGCCAGTGAGGCATTTTGACTGTGTTTATCAATTCTACCTGAAGAGAGAGTCAGCAGTTCCTTAGCACACACGTATACCAACAAAATCATTCTCCAAAATGCTGCTGGATCATCTTCCTCGCGACCACTAACACAAACACTCTCATATGTGGTCCCCAGAGGATGACAGTCCCTTCAGCGTGAGAGTGACCTTACAGCCAGTCTCTGTGCTGGGATGACCTTCCCTCCCAAATAATTACAACAATTAATCAATTAAATGCTGAGGCAACCACAACTCCACAGCTCCATAACCAGAGCTCACATGCATGTGTGTGCCTCATTACCCCTAGAGTTGTACACAACACACAGGCTCGGTTACACTCACACAAAATCCTGTAGTTGCCATGGGCGACAGAGGCGTGAGCGCTAGGGTGTGGCATGCCCTGTCTCAGGTGGTGCAGGAGAATGATGACAGCTGACAGCTCACAGTGTGACACCCCCCCCCCCCCCCCCTAAAAAAATTCTCTCCCACTTCCCCCTGCGTCATTCTCCCCCTCTCTCTCTCGCTTCACATCTTCACATCTCCCTTTCTCTCTTTATCCCTCCCCCTCTTTCTCACCCTTTTCTTTGCATGCTGATTGTGGTCCAATAATAGCTCAAGCACCTGTCTGGATAGCTCTACATTTATGAAAATCAGTATGTGGGCTGCTTGTTTTCCTGTATATGTTTTTGTTTGGGTATCTCATTTTGAAAAATCTAGTTTTCTCTGTGCATTTTTCACTCGAGTGTAACGCCAGTCTATTGCACGCAACTATTTTTGGTAAAACAGTTTGATACATTCTCATATCCAGAGGCAACTGAAAGGCTATTGATATACGTATGTTTAAACTGGAGTGTGCATGGCAACTTGAGTTTCATCTTCAGTTTGATCTGTACTTACTGGAGGGTTAGGCGCTTAACCCAGCGGTCGTAGGGGGAGATGCAGGGTACACCCTACCCAAGACAGAGAGATGCACATCCACACCGACAACCAATTTAGAATCACCAGTTAACTAAACAAAAATTTCAATATTATATTATAAATGGTATAATTTGTTGAATTCAACTCTGACCAAAAAAGAAAACCTTTTTTCATGACTGTACTGTATATCTATCTGTCTATCCGCCTAGCATTACCTTAGCTTCAGTTCAAAACTTAAAAATATCAAGGGACTTTCTCATAAAGCAAATTTAGCATTTTTCTCTGTCTGTTAATAAACAAAAGACCCAAAGGACATTTGAAGGATAGAAATTTAAAACAAAATTGCAAAAAAACATCTGAGAGTTTTGTTTTTTGCTCACATAACACATCTTTACAAAAACTTGGTATAATGATTTGGGTAGACCTGTTCGGTGAGCCCCACCCTATCTCCCCTTTGTTCCACCTAAAACACACAAACCTACGTAGGACAGGGCCAAGGCAGCAGGTGTTTAGATCTATTTCTTCTATCTGCCCTCCTCATATCTGTCTGAACCTGAACCTGATAGACTGCTTTTTTTCATCCTTTTCAATTCAATAATGCAACCCACATCCATTCATTTCTCTTGTATTTCATTATACTTCCCCGTTTCTATCCTTTCCCTTTGCTGTGTTTTTAATGCTCGCTTTATGAATAAGTAAATGCAGTATTTGGTTTCTCCGTCGTTAATTATTGAAGCGACAGTGATACAGGACTTGCCTCCCAGTGCGCCCAGTCGCCCAGACCCATGTTTTAACTTGTATCTAGGCAACCAGGCTGCATATAGTCAGGCATCAGTAACATCCTAATGATTCTGCTGCGCATGCGATGAGGGGGAGTGCAATTTACACACAAATCAGTTGGGGTACCATTTGCATCATGTCACAAGGCTTAAGAGGATGAATATGTAATGGTTTTTTTCCTCTCTGTCTTTCATATTTTCTAAGAGAAACGTGTGATAAATGACAATGCTATCACAACAGCTGCCTCTTAGTGGGGTCGGTTACATAGATGGGTCCAAGGGCATGTCGCCATACATGGCTTGATTGACAGATTTTAATGGGGTAACGAGTGGTTAAACAACACTTTCTTAAAAGGAATCAAGTGTAGGGCAAGGTGGGATCACTGACAGGAAGTACAAACCCGAGGTGACCTTGACTGGTTTAGCACCTCTGCTGTATTAAAATGTGACCACTGTCATCATCACGCCAAACATTTACAATCTGCCAAGCCGATTTTAAACACTCTATGAGAGGCTCAGTGGGCATTGGGGATTTTACTTGCTATTGACGAGAGGCAGCAGGGTCAGTCAGAGAGTAAATAAATGATTGAAAGAATTGGCTCGGCCACAACAGCCGAGGCCACTCTGTCGATCCAGGGTATCGATCTGAGGTAGATGGCTTCAGTGAAAAGCAAGGGCTGTTTAAATGAAAAACTGAGATTAGGACCTGATTGGAATTAATTGTGTTTTAGTTTTGATTTATTTACAAATTAAGCTTCAATTCACATTAGCCACCCGTGAGTTAGGTGACCAAGTGAGAAACAATAACCAGGCATAATTAAGGTCCAAAGTGGCATGGTAGTGCCATAATTGTCAGTGTCAAGGCTCAATAGCCAATATGCATCATCTGTTTTTGGCAGGATCATATATATGTCAAAAAGTGACATTTCCATGGTGTTGACACAGTCTGCCCCAGTCTTAACTCCTTAACAAGGCCCAAGGATTAGATGAACATGGATAAAGTAGGCTAGTGTGAAAGAAATAGACATGGTGAGACAAAGAATCAGGAAATTAAACATCGAACTTTAAGGTGAAAGACTCCCCACCGTTTGGACAAGGACACTGGCTTTGGTTCCAATGGGTTCCAGTGACAGTGGCGGCTGGCATAAAGCATTATTAATGACCAAGGAAACTGGCCTTCAGGCTAGGCGTTAATTATATCACTGGAGAGCTGGGGGAGAGCGAACACATAGGAGTGCAGGGCCACTCCCTCTGTTGTGTGTATGTGTGTTTTACATTGTTAAGTCATTACTGCCCTCATTTCTAAAGAGAGCCCGCATTGATAGATTGCTGGAAACACTCCCTAATATCAGCCTTTCTGAGACCCTTTCTGACTTCTGTAACTTTGTTTTTCTGTTCGTCTTATTCAAGTCAAATTGTGTCCAATGTGAATTGTCTGTGTTGAAAAATCTGGCAACATACCTTTAAACAAATGAGATGAAGATAGCAGCCAAGGCCACACAGTTCAGTTTATAAAACAGCTCTGTTTATTCGCTCGAGCTAGCATGTCCTTGAACTACCTGTCTGTCCTTCTTACCAGAATAATCCATTAATTTAATTTCACTTAATTTATTTAATGAAAATTTATGCTCTGATTCAGCATTTCACATTTTTCACCAATCAGGCTATTGCTACAGGCTAGTGTTTTCATCATTAAGCCTGTCTTAATCGCCACCATCCTTTCTGTACACTGGCACAGATTCACAGTTTAGTGCTCTGCATGCCATGTGCAGAGGGTGTGTTTTTGATGCCCTGGCGCCTGCATGTGACAGTTCCATCGGCTCTGTGCAACCCTCCACTCTTTGCCGTCTCATAGCATCTGTGGCGTTGTTCTTTAAAAGGCCAGCAGCAACTCGCTACGTATCCCCTTCAACACAGCTCCGAGTCGGTCCTCCTTACAATTGCCCCGTGATTTTTAAAGCTGTGGCTGAACAGTGAAAAACATGCTTAATGTGGCTGAACAGAGCACCAGACAAGGTTATTTACTCACCCTGCTTTAAGTATTTGTCGAACAGGACAGATGTCAGCTGTGAATTGTCAACATGTGAAAAAAGTATTTGAAAAAAATATTTGTGTTTTTTCGTTGTTGTTTGTTTTAGATGTATTACTATTTTTTATACCACTGCTTAAAATCAGGACTATCACTATATCCGAATGCCAATTCTTGATAATAATGACTAAAAAAATGATCCTTTAAGTTCAGTTAATGAATTCTGATTCTATAGAGAGCAACTATAAAGAATAATAGAGAATAAAGAATATTATAATAAAGAATTTCCACACATTTAAGATATATTTTAGGTTGTAATTTCCAATACCTAAAAGTATTCACCACCAGCATTGTTAGCTCAGTGTTCCACATTCCTTGTTACTTTTCTTAAAATGTATTCATTACCTTAATTAATCTCCAAAATAAGTAATTTGTTATATTATTTGTCGCGCATAATTACCTACAGTTCTATAAACTGAGGCAAAACAATATCCTAGTAAGGACAATCATACAATCTTACTTTTAGTGTTTACATTCAAAGTTGAAAACCATCTGAAAGCGACGTCCCCATGTTCATCACAGCAATTCTCCTGCAGGAACATGAACAGGTAAAAATACAGACTCCTGGATGTAGTTTGTACTTTTACTACTACATTCTTATTTTTTGGGCAATAAAAACCAACGCAATGCCTGAATCTCTACTTCTAAAGATGTAGACTTTGCCACCCTTTTCCTAAAAACTAAAATTCACCAGCTGGGCCAACGTCCTCATTTTAGGTTTGACAGCGTTTTAGTAGGTAAAGGTGAATGCTTGGACATGAATTGAGCTGCGGTTTGGGGAAGGCCTTGACTGGCGATGGCTCCCGGGCCTGGCAGATCCCCGTGCACTAAATAGAAGTGAAGAAGTTAAAGAATTGAAAACAAAGAGGGAGGGTGGGGCACGTAAACGAGAATAAACAGCTTGTAGAACTGGGGGAACCTAGATGACAACCGGAAGGAGCGTGTTTAGAGGTCCCACTCCTGAAATTCCGATACTCCAATTAGATGTGAGAAACATTGCAGTTAACTAAAATAAAAGTAAAAACTAGACTTTTGAAGACAAATGCAAATTAACTGAAATGATATTGTGAATTTGGAAAACCAAAATAGAAGTGAGTTTTAGTATCTGTTAGTCTGCTAAAAAAAATATTATTACAACATTCCCAATGAGACATTGATGGATGTGTTTATTGAAACTCTGGATGTTTACAAGATTACGAGGTAATGCTTTCAAAAACTTAAGTGTTTTTATTTTAATATTGATACTTATTTTCCTAAATCTTACCTCTGACATAAGCCCTTTATAAGATAATAATTAAAGAGACTAAACTAAATTAAACTAAACATCCATCCATCCATTTGCTTCCACTTATCCTTTTCAGGGTCGCGGGGGCTGCCGGAGCCTATCCCAGCTGTCATAGGGCTAAACATATTTTAAAAAATTACTTTGAATGAAATTAAATGGAATTAAAAATGAAAATAAAAATGAAAATAAGAATAAAAAACTAATTAGGAAATTAAAAAAACAACAACTATGGTTACTCTGGATTTCAGTACAAGTGCAGGAAGAAAAAGTCCTGTTTGGTGTTTTTATTGTTTCTGTTGATGCATCCTGTAGAGAACTGAAAGAACCTTTATAACAACATAATTGCAAATGTAATGTAATTACTGAATTTAATGCAATACAGTAACATGTTATTGAAAAGTGTAATGTGATTACAGTAGCACGTTACTGTGTAACATGTTACACTAAATACCAGTATGTACGGTAGACAGTAAAGAGAAACACAACAAATGATATTACAAATATATTTAATTTTATGAATTTAGTTCCTTAATTTAAAAGGAAGAATAAATGTTTTCAATGAAAATGTAACAGATTATTATCAGATTATCTTTACCTTGTGTTCTTACATTGTAATTACATATTGCCTTTACGTGTCTGAACTCTATTATAGAGTATCCCAATCTTTTTATGATTTGGCTGTATGGTAGCCCTCCTGTGGTACTTTGCTTGACTAAACATTATAAAGACTTTTGTGGGCTGTTGACAGCCTTTGTGGACTAAATTGTATATAAAAAGCTATTTGAGAGATGTAGATTTGATTAAATTAAAGCATAAAAGTAAACTATACCTCTCATATCACAGTTTGTGCAGACTCCCAATTTATGATATCAGCATTCATCTGTCATTTTTAAATATCAGTATTAATATCAGATTGAGGTTTATTAAACTGAAGTGTCCACTGTCACTCTCACCCAGTGTACATCTAGTGACTAATATCAACTCTTTTCTTCACATACCAGTGTTCAGGGAGCCCTACACAGTCCGTGTGGCCGACCAGCGCTCCATGCGGGGTAATGTTGCCGTGTTCAAGTGCCTCATCCCCTCAGCTGTCCAGGAGTATGTCAGCGTTGTTTCCTGGGAGAAAGACACCGTCGCCATTGTCCCTGGTAGGAGATTCAGCCACTCATAATCAATGATTCATCAAAAAGCCCAAACTAAGACTGCAGACAAAAGCTTCAGGTTCATTTTCCAAGTTCATGCTCACTCTGTTTGTGTCTGTGGTTAATAATGGAAAGCAAATGATCTAATCTCATTCCACTACATAAATGGAATATTTGCAGGTGGAGAAATAAGAATTTTCTCTGTTATTGCAAATGAAGTCCAAGCTTTAAATCCAGGGATGTTTTTTTGTTTGTTTGTTTGTTTGTTTGTTTTTTTAAATGTGGTTTGCTTTCAGAACGTAATGGACTTTCTTGTGATTGTTGATTTCTCTTTATCAATAATAATCAATCTATTTGTGTTTATTTGTGTTGCTGGTACTGGTCCCAGTGAGAGAAGATGACAGAATGCCTCATTCATTCAAAAATAAGGCTGATGAAATGGCCTTTGCCTGACACATTCCTGGCTGCTCAGTCACTGTCACTGCTGTGGTTCAGAGCTGTGTTCTGTGGATAAATCAGACATTAGCAGACATGTGCTATTTGTGTTTGTGTGAGAGAGAGAAAGTGAGAAAGCAAGAGAGAGAGAGAGAGAGAGAAAGAGGAGGACCGAGGGGTGTGTGTGGACTGGGGTGTGTGTGTGTGTCTAATTTGATGTTATCACAGTCACCTAAAAGAGAGCAGCAACACCTCTAGGGCTCTCTTATGTCTGGTGTTGTTCACTCTGTTTCATCTGATCCTCTAAACAAATCATTCACTGTCTAACTGAAGAGTGAAAATATCAGTATGGGCCTCCTGCGTGCTGCTACGCTTGTGCATTGGCACTCGTGTGTATCTACAGTATGTGTTCAGGCTTGTGTTGCAGTGTTAACATTTGCTCCATGGAGCAATGGCAAATTGCAGGGTGTCAGATGAGACTGTTTAGGTCAGATGATACGCATTGTTCTCTGCCCCTTATCTTGCTCTCTGATACAGACTGCCTGTTTCATCTCTCAACACTGTGTGTGAGTGTGTCTATAAAGGTGTCTGTGTATTTGTGTGCCTCTCTATATTGCTCTGTCCTTCACACAGGAGCACTCATTGATCCAGCACAACTATAGTAAGTGTGTGTGTGTGTGGCCTGAGGGGGGTTTCCAGTCTGGATCGATAAAGCTTGCTGGTGGATTCCCCTCTCTCTTGTCACGGATCCCTCAGTGTGAGAGTGGTGAGACCGGGCCAGTCTGTTTGACTCATAGCTCTGTGTGTGTGTTTGTGTGCGTGTGTGTGTGTGTATGTGTATTTGCTAAAGCCACTGTATCATGGCTGTGTGCAAGAGCTCAGTGGGAGTATGTTATTGATCGCGTGATGGACGCCTTTGGTAAAGCATGCACATATAGACAAGCAAAAGTATGCACACACACACACACACACACACACACACACACACACACACACACACACACACACACACACACACACACACACATTTGAATGAGCAGCTCTTTGAGCTTTCAGCTGTGACCAGTTCATGTTATCCATAATCTTTAAGAAACAAACTATACATTCCATTGATTCCATTTGAATGAATTATCACTGCACGAACTACAATAATCTGTTTCATTTTCAATAACTGAAACACAATTTTTAAGGTGAAATGATCAGTCAGGTTATCAGTTGTCACTATTTCAATGATCACCATCATAACTTTCAATCACATATTTGTTCTTCTTGGATTTTTCTTGTTCTTATTCTTTTAGATGATTATAAATGGTCACTTTTACATTTCCACACATATGAAGATGTCTAATAAGGCATCTTTAAACAAAATGGTTAATTGATTTTCCAATTGTTTACTAAGTAATATAATCCCGAAATATCTGAGCTGGCATTTCAAAATACTTGAGAGTATTTGTTTTCCCTTTTTCCTTCGCTTCCTTCTCTTCTCTACTTCTTCTCCTCTCAGTCCTGATGAATACGTTTTATTGGTGACACAGTGCATCTCTTCTTCTTTCTGTCCATCTTTGGCTTGATGCCTCCTCCTCAACCCTGGTACAGACTGGTGGCCCGTGTCAGCATCATAACCACACACACACACACACACACACACACACACACACACACACACACACACACAAACAGAGACACAGAGGATCCATGTGCGGGCCCCACCTACCCCACTTGCACTCCACCATACACCTCATCCATCTATCCATCCACTTCATCTATCAGCTCCTGGTAGCATGTACAGCTTTCAGTCTTTCGATAGCGCTCGAGATGCTCTAGTGGTTTGCCATTTATTAGGGACACTGTATGCCAAGGTATTGGCTTGACAGGATGATACATGTCAAACAGACGGCTGTGTTGGTCAATAAAGCTAAGTTTGAATGGGCTTTGATGAAGAGGCAGGAGGGTGTTTGCTGACAGCTGGCCTCACTGTGAGACGACCCTGCCTGGGTGTCATGTCACTATTTGACAGCCAAATCTGTTTGCGTTGAGGCCTGTTCGTGGAGCGATTTGTGGGGGAGTAGACAGATAGATAGACAGGCAGACAGTCAAACAGTGCGAAGCTTTGCGTGTTGACTGGCTATCGTGGATTTTACTCCCTTGTCATATTCCTCCCCTTCTCGTGCTACTTCTCTATCTAGCCATGCCTCTCCCTTTAATTGATGGTTTGCTGGTGTTGCTGTCGGTTAGAAAATTAACATTTGTTTGCTTGTCAGTTAGGGAACTGAAAGAGTATGCTCTGACAGCGATGTGTACGAAGGAACTTCATCCGTGTGTATGTGTGAGTGTTTGCGTGTCACTTTGTTAGTATCGCTCTCCTCCTCCAGTTGGAGCTTAAAACATTGTGAGTTTTATCTGGTCGCCATGGTAACGGGTGCAATCCGGCGGGCGGAATGAGGAAGGTGTGAGGATGCATCGCTGCCTGATTTTTATAAGTGCATCACCACGGTTCATCTCCACCATACTCACACATGTGCACGCACGCACACACATACAGAGGACATATCAGCATATGTAGCATCTTTCTTTCTTTATTTCCTGCATTGCAAACTGTATAGTCCATCATCCATGGTCTGGATTAGGATGATGAAGCACTGTGTGTGACTTGTCGGTGACACTATGTGCCTGTGTGATATATATATTATTATAATAAACCTGTTGGCCACTCTGTTAACAGGGACAACAGCCAATATCTAGGAGCTTCCAGTGTAGAAGGCAGATATTTGAGCCAACACTTCCTAATCCGTCCAGCAGAGTTTATGAATGCAGGTACATTAACAAAGCTGTGTAAATTTTGGTCTCTACCTGCATGCAATCAAACCCCGCTTAAAGATGATTGGTCGTTAGAGGTTCAGTTGCAAACACACCTTGGATACATATTATGCATGTATTGTTATCGAGAATAGCTAATAACTGACCTAAAACCGTACAGCAGAATTGTCAAGCATATGTCAGTTTACTTTAAGTATTTTGAAAATGCATGCCAAAGTTTTACACGTTTGCACTGTAAAAGCTTGGGTTTTATATGGTGTGATCATACTTTTCCTTTGAAAGATGATCAGTTTTTCTCCTGCCATCCTGTAACTATATGTATTTTCTCACTTGTGCATGTTTTCCTATAATCCCAGAATGTGTCCCTGATTTCTACATCAGGCTTGTGTCAGGGGCATAACACTTGTTGCAGCACTCGAAAGGGCCAAGGAAACAAAAATGCAATGTGCAGACTTGGATGTTAATTTTAATCTTAATTTTAATAAATGATTGCCATGGGTTTAATTGTATTTGTGGGAAAGGAAATGTCCAAAAGTAAGCAACACATTCAACAATATCATCAGCATCTGTGATTGGACCATGATGTAGACATAACCCCAAACTTCAGGATTTTATGTTTCTTATAGACCTGCTTTTTCTCTTTCTCACTTTCTGTTTTACCTCTGCCTCCTAGGGTTCTCTTACTGCTTGACTTGACATTTATTCCTCTCAAGTGCTTATCAGGCCCACTTGATCGCCTCTTGTTTTGCATCATTATTTTTCTTCACATTCTGCTGTTTTCAGTGTGTCTGCCCTCTTCCTTTACTAAAATACTGAAGTTAAAATAGAAATATCAAAGTTTGCCAAAAGACATTTACAGGAATGGTCTTTATTTTATGTAATAGCTACACATGAAGTCAGTGTAGTCTTTTTAATGTTCCTTTCTTTTGTGAGGCAGCTGAGTCAGTTCTGCAAACTGTACACACTTAGATATAATGTGCTTGCTTCATTAGAGCCAAAGAAACTACAGCTTATTTGAATTACACATTTACATACTGTGGTTGAATGAACTATTCAGGTGGCATCTGAGTAGCATGCTTCATTAAATGTTAATGAGAACATTGTGAGTCATATTACAGCATTAAACCAGGGTAAGGGATAAAGAGATTAACACACACAATTAAGTTGTTTTCGTTTATCTTAAACAATGTATGGCTTCTTAAAGAACAATCTTTATTCGTATGAGAAAGAAGACACTTGCAATGTTACAATATTTTTGAAAATTGTAATAGATTGAACAAGCAAATAGAGTCACAGAACAATACTAAGTGATTGATTAGTTGATATCGCGGGAGATAACAACAGAAAGCGTAAACATCGAGGGTGAAGAGGGTGTGGAAAAGTGTGACGTCTGTGTTTTTTTTGCATTGATTGAGGCTGTTTAATCCCCCTTCTCTTTCACACACACTGCCTCTCTCTCTGTGAAGTGTAGCGTCACCACAGCTGCAGTAGCTTCTGTCCCAGTCTCCATTTTGTAGCCACTCCGCAGAGGACCTGTACTCTTCCCACCCCTCTGTCTTTCCACTTTTAACTTTATCCCTCTCCCGCCCTTCTTTTCTAGAGGCACTTATTAGGAAATAGTGAAGTGACAAAGCATCGTCTTTTTTTCTTCCACTCCATCAGGCCTGAAAGTGAACAACAGATAGGCTGAAAAATGGCAGAATAGGCAGAAAAAGAGAGAGACAAAGTGGCACAAAAGCATGACATGTTAAATT